TTCATTCGTCTTCTTCTTCTTCTTCTTCCTCCTCCTCCTCCACCTTTTTGCTTTTTCTTCTTTTACTTTTTTTTTGTTGATTCTTCTTCTTCTTCTTCTTCTTCTTCTTCTTCTTCTTCTTCCACCTGTTTTCTTATCCTTTTTCTTTTTCTTCTTTTACTTCTTTTTTGTTGCTTCTTCTTCTTCTTCTTTTCCACCTCCTCCTCCTCCTTTTCTTTTTTTCTTTTATCCTTTTTCTTTTCTTCTTCTTCTTCTTCTTCTTCTTCTTCTTCTTCTTCTTCTTCTTCTTCTGTTTCGTCTCCTTTTGCCTTTTCTTCTTTTTCTGTTCCTTCTTCTTCTTCTTTTTCTGTAGTTTTTTCTTCTTTTTCTCTTGCTTCTTTTCTGTGTTTCTTCTTCTGTTGCCTCTTCTTCTTCTTTTTCTGTTACGTCTTATTCTTTGGTGGCTTCTCCTTTTTCTTTTGTTTCTTCTTCTTTTTCTCTTGCTTCTTCTTATTTTGTATTTTTCTATTTCTTCTTTTTTCTGTTGCGTCTTCTTCATCATCTTCTTCGGTTACTTCTTTTTCTTTGGCTTCTTTTTTTGCTGTTGCTTCTCCTTCAGTCGCTTCTTCTTCTTCGTTTGCTTTTTCTTTTTTTCTGCCATTTTTTCATGCCTTTATTGTGAGTTCTTCCATTTTTGTTTTAATTTTCTTATTTTCTTTGATAGATTTCTTTTCTTGATAATGTTCTTTCCATGCTTTTTTAAAAAATTTCCCGATTAACCTGTTTTTATCGATTTTGTTTTATTGCCTTTCTATATTTATTGTTTTTTTCTTCCTTGATTTTTATTGTTTCTTTCATTATTTACCTCATTCAACTCTTAATATATATATATATATATATATATATATATATATATTGGTTAAATAATTTAGATGTATTATGTCCATTTCATTTAGTTACCATCCTTTCGAGTCCTCGAGTTAATTTCTTGCTAGTTGTAGAAAATTGATTAAGAAAAATACCAAAATTTTCTTTCAAATAATTTTTATTTACTCTAATATTTTTATTCTGATCTGAGACAATCTTCACCGGGTTAAATTGTCTGCGGATGTACATACGAAATTCCGTAAATTCAGAATATTTTTTCACTGTTCGTTTCACGGCATTGTGCAGCATTCCAAGTTTAAATTCAAATTCACTGCAAGGGAGGTAACTTTTGTATTTCTTTATTTCTTATTTTCTTTTCCCTATATATAAAATTTTGTTCTTACAAACATTTAAGAAATTATATATATATATTGCGAGAGCAAGATCTAAAAGGTCAGACTATCTAACAGTGATCTCCTCTCACAATCCTCACACTTGCACCATATGTGGCCTCCTTTGTAAATCACTAGCAGGTCTTAAATGCCACTTAAGATTATCGCTCAAACTTTCATAATGAATCAATAATCTGTCAGATCCTCATACATCGAAATTGACGGGAGTGTCCATTATTATAATATATATATATATATATATATATATATATATATATATATATATATATATATATATATATATATATATATATATATATATATATATATATATATATATATATATATATATATATTTATATGTATTTATACATCCATACATATGGTGATTGTTACTTCTTGACAGAAGACCATCTTCACAAAAAATGTCTTTTTTTGTAACTTTCACTCTCACTGATCATGAAATCAGCCTTACTTTTAGAAGCTTTTGCGCAAACGTTGCACGTGAAAGGGAGATCCATATTCCCGACAGGCATGTCATCAATGTGAATTTTTATGTGTCTTCTTAATCCAGAAACTGACTTGTATACTTTATGGCAGAGTATCCAAGATGCCACAAGGATTGATTACTGGATTCTTTCAATGGATCGAGCCTGATGAGACTTAAGTTGCCTTTGAAACCGGCCACCGAAATAGCAAAATTGCGACATAAACTACATACATGATGTAAAGTCAGGGTGGAAGGTAGTGCTTCAAGATTACCCTTACGATGATTGCGCTTAACCTTAGCATGTTCCACCTTGTCATTTTCAAACTGGTTACAACCTTGATGAACAAGTCGTTCTCCGCGTAGGTCAACGTTCAGCCTCCATTTCGCAGGTACCGACTGATATCCCAAGAGCATTGAGAATGGCTTTGATGTAATCTTTAAAGCGCTTTCGAGGTTTGTGTCTGGGACTCTTGCCTGCAGATAGTTCACTATAAAAGGCGCGTTTGGGTAACTTTAAGTCATCCATGCTCTGCAAGTGACCTGCCCAGCGAATTTGATTGCGAATGATTAGATTCTCAATATTGAGGAAATTAGCTTTCTCCAGAATTTCTGTGTCAGGTACAAAAGACTACCATGAAATATTCATGATACTTCTGAGAAATTTTTTGTATACTCTTTCAGGGGAGGTAATATGACGTCTGTATGTTGTCATAGTTCCTGAAGAGTATAAAAAAGACAGTCAAAATACATGACTCATGAAAAAATATATGCCTCCTCACATGTATATAGATATTTATATAGATATTTTACATACATACATATATATACATACATATATATATATATATATATATATATATATATAAAAATATATATATATATATAGAGAGAGAGAGAGAAAGAGAGAGAGAGGGATAGATAGATAGATAGATGATAGATAGATAATACACATCCCATACACACAATTTGACAAATTTGTCTCGCTAGATCAGTTACGACTGAGTAGTGAGTTCGATCCGCACTTGATGCCTTCAGCTTTGTGCTGCATCTCAGCAATGTTTAGGAAATGTATATATATATATATATATATATATATATATATATATATATATATATATACAGAGAGAGAGAGAGAGATACACACACATTCACACACATACACACACACACACACACACACACACACACACACACATATATATATATATATATATATATAGAGAGAGAGAGAGAGAGAGAGATACACACATTCACACACACACACACACACACACACACACACACACACATATATATATATATATATATATATATATATATATATATATATATATAATATACGTTTGTGTGTGAGTGTTCATATTTGTTGTGTGTATATATTAATAATCTCTTCAAACTGCACTGCACACAAGATAATATTTTTTTTTTTCGATGTTGCATTGTATTGCTTCTTTGGCCGCAAAAAAAAAAAGAAAACTTTGGCGCCAATATTTCCTCTGACCTTCCGCAGTCAGGCGACCAGCGGGCGGATACTCATGCCCTGTCCTCCCGTCCAGGTCCAAATAAAATCACAACCAAAACACAAAAATCAATATTTTCCCACTAATGATGTTATCCGTTCTTATTTCTACCCAAGAGATATTCAGTTTATTATCTGTCTTTTTTATGTTCTTTTTTCTTTTCTTCTCTTTTCTCCCTCTCTCCCTCCCTCCCTCTCTCTCTCTCTCTTTCTCTCCCTCATGTCAAACTTTCTTTACCAGTTTATCGTTATATCAGTCTGTATCTATCTGCATCATAATATGAAAACTTATCCATCTCACTTCCATTTATATAGTTCACTTGATGCATGTCTGTCTGTCTATCCTGTATTCATTCCCTATCTATCTATCTATCTATCTATCTATCTATCTATCTATCTATTCTTAATTTATGTCTCAGGCTTATTTTCTCTCTCTCTCTCTCTCTCTCTCTATATATATATATATATATATATATATATATATATATATATATATATAAGAAATATGTTGTAGTGGTTCCAACGAGAAAGTATATGTATATTAAAAGAAAGGGGTGCTGCAAACGTTTTTGGTTGTAATGTGGATTTATTGAGAAAAAATATTATACTTTGTTTTACATAATTTCACGACACGTGTTTCTGGTCTGGTCTCGCAACCGTCTTCAGGTGAAAGTGGAGATTTTTACATATTATTAAAAAATAATTAATTTTCTTCATGTTCAATGTGGAATATTCTCGATATGAGACATTCTGTTTGTGTGTTGGCAATCCGAATTTTCTTTTCTAGAATTGTCAATGAAGAGTTCTGCGTGAAGGGTCATAAAACAATTAAAGGTTTGTCCAGCGAGTAGTTATCGGCATTTAATCATTTAATGTTTTAGTGACCTCTATGTGCTCTTGGATCTGTTTCTATTTTGGCGTGTTCCTGTCAGCATGCGTGTATATATGCGTGCGTATATATATATATATCATACTTTTCTATCTATACGTTATTCGTGTCTTAGGCTTATTTTATCTATCTATCTATCTATATATCTATCTATATATCTATCTATCTATACTTTATTCATGTCTTAGGCTTATTTTATCTATCTATCTATCTATCTATCTATCTATCTATCTATCTATCTATCTATACTTCGTTCATGTCTTAGGCTTATTTTATATATCTATCTATCTATCTATGCTGTATTCATTCCCTATCTATCTATCTATCTATCTATCTATGTATCTATCTATCTATATGTATATTTATATATATATATATATATATGTATGTATATATATATATATATATATATATATATATCTATATCTATCTATCTATCTTATTCATGTCTATTATATCTATATATCTATCTATCTATCTATCTATCTATATATATATATATATATATATATATATATATATATATATATATATTTACCATCATTCATATCTATCTCTATCTCAACCTATTCTTTATTCATAAAGTTGTCAGATTTGTAACATTTGTTCTGTAAACGGAGATGCAATGCTTTCAAAAATGAAACGCGCAAAGCTGCATGTTGAACACATAAAATGGATCAAAGAAACATTTTATATGAAAAGACTTAACCGGCGATACAGGCTTCTTGGTTATCATGACAATACACGCCCTCATGTTGCAAACATGAAAAAACATTCAGTTAAAAAGTTCGGTTGGAAAATTCTGCCACTGCCATCATATTCTCCTGATTTTGCCCCTTCAGACTACAAATTTTTTCTGTTGGTTTCTAACTATTTGAGGTGAACTATTTACAACGTTTCGGCTGTTGTACGCTCCGGCCTTTTTCAGGTGATTGGAATGTCGAACTGAACCTTTTATTTCGCTCACTCGAGTAGACTATTGTAGTTCCACGCGCTATGTTTAATGGATGTCAGTTATCAGTTATCTCCTGTTAATTTCCCTCTGAAAGTTAACCACAGCCTTAAGCGGGTATTGAACTCACACACTTTGGGTCCTGTTACTGGATCTAACTAACGACTATATCCACTATGCCATGTCCTCAATGACACATGGCACAGTGGATAAAGGGGAATTAGCAGGAGATATCTGATAACTGACATTCATTATACATGGCACGTGGAATTTCAACAGTCTACCCCAGTGAGCGAAATAAAGGGTTCAGTTCGACATTCCAACCACCTGAAGAAGGCCGGTGCGTACAACGGCCGAAACCTTGTAATAAATGTGGCGACAAAGATGAGGACGATAGTCCAAATAATGTAAATAGTGTACATAATACCTAATCTCAGACATATAGACAGATAATGAAAGGCCGAAACGTTGTAATAAATATGGTGACAAAGATGAGGACAATTGTCTGAATAATGTAAATAATATACATAATACCTCATCTCAGAAATATAGACAGATACTAAAAGGCCGAAACTTTGTAATAAATATGGTGACAAAGATGAGGACAATTGTCTGAATAATGTAAATAGTGCACATAATACCTCATCAAAGAAATATAGACAGATACTATTTGAGGGGTGTTTTATTCAACAACGTTGTGAAGCCTAAAATGTTCGATGAATTTTTTGAGTCCAAAACTCCAAGCATTGAATAGCTTGTTTATCGTTGGCAGGCCGTCGCAAACAATGAAAGGCAATAAATTGTTGAATGATTCATCAGAAATATTAATAAATAATAAGTATTAAATTAAATCTATATATAAAATTCTCTGACTTCTGTTAGTCCGTCCCTCTGTCACACCCTCCAAAATAACCATACATTGACTGATCAAAACAAAATTTTGGGTAGACGCGCAAACCGGTACCGGGGTACAAAGTACAATTGGTTTTACTAGGGTACGTAGATTAGAATAGGATGTTCCTATAACTTGGACCGATTTTAAATGTGAATTAAGTTTAAGCGTCAAACATTTCTTTTTCCTTTTTCTTTCAGATTTTAACAACTTAATTTCAACCATGAAAGAATTGAAAATCAAACAGTATGTTAAAGTTTCATAAGTGCAATTGGAAAAATTGTTCGTAAATTCAAACAAACTGGGCCGATGGCAGATGTGAAAACACCATTGCTTGCTGGTTAACGCTGTTCAGCTGATAACATTGCTGCAGTGCACGAGAATGTGGCCGAAAATCCAGACCTCTCTATTCGTCATCGCGCGCAGGAATTGAACCTCTCTACAACAACGTGACATCGAATTTTGACAAAAAGATTTTATCTATACACACTTTCCAAAATTCAGTTGGCACAAGAACTGAAACCTTGGAGCGCCGAACATTCGGTGCACGTACAAAGTGAAAAGCCGATGAAGATTTTTCGCAAAAAATCCTCTTTGGTGATGAAACCCATTTCATATTGGTGGATTTGTTAATAAGCAGAATTGTCGCATTTGGGCTGATGAAAATCCAAGGAAGATCGTTTCAAAGCCACTACAGCCACAGAAGGTCACTGTTTGGTGTGCATTTTTGCTAGTGGAATCATTGGACTGCATATTTATAAATTTGAACGTCCATTTTCGTAATAGGCTTCGATAACTTTAACACGTTATTTGATTGTTAATATTTCCATGGTTGAAATTTCCATAAGACTTAAGTTAAATCTGAAAGAAAAAGAAAAAAATCAGTAGACGCTTAAACTTAATTCACATTTACGTTATTGGAAATAAATTTTCATTATTTTTTTGCCCCTAAATGTTTTTTTTTAATTAAATATGCAAGACGCTCCCCCTAATTTAAAACAACTTAATGATCAAAATAACAGATACTTATTTAATAATGATGCGATATTGTTTTTGCATGTTTTTTTTGAGTTTATATATATATATATATATATATATATATATATATATATATATATATATGTATGTATGTGAGAATCCTGTTCGCTCTGTGTTTACGAGAACTGTAAACCAATTACAAGGCCAAATGCTTCAAAAAGTTTGAATCTTACTCCAGAATGAAATATTTAAACATGGCCAGTTGTATGTTGCATGTTCAAGAGTAAGAAATCGTAATAATTTATTCTTCGCTATTAAAACGGAAATAGAAGATATTTTCTTAAATCATATTGTTAATCATGAAGTCCTATAAAATTAAATTACATTAGAGAAATTTTTAAACCGCAAAGAAGGTTTTGTCAAAGTATTTTTTTCAAATAAATCAGCTTATTCAAATTTAATCGATTAGTTTCGAAAGAAACGTAGAGTTTGTAAATTTCGACAAAAAAATGTTAGCGACAAAGTCAACGATACAAATACAACGCGGAATACAACATAAGCTAATGTGTTCCAAAAGAATTCAAGTTCATAAAAAATGTCGGATTAAATCACATCGTGACTGAAATCTTTTTATATTTCTGAAATGAGTTATTGTAACTGTTTACATTATTTACATTGTTCGGACTGTTGTACTCATCTTTATTGCTATATTCACGATGATTCGACCGTTGTATGCTCCGGCTTTCCTCAGCATATATCTATATTTCTGAGATGAAGCATTGTAACTATATACACTATATACATTATTCGAACTGTTGTCCTCATCTTTATTGTTATATTCACAACGTTTTGGTCGTTGTATGCTCCGGCAATCTTCAGGATCAATCCATTATTCTGAGATGAGGTATTGTACCTATTTACACTATTTACATTGTTCGGACTGTTGAACTTATTTTTATTGCCATATTCACGACGTTTCTGCCGTTGTACGCACTGGCATTCTTCAGGATTAGTCTATATTTCCGTGATGAGGTATTGTAACTATTTACACTATAACATTGTTCGTACTGTTTTCTTATGTTTGTTGCCATATTCACGACGTTTCGGCCGTTGTACGCAGCGGCATTTTTCAGGATGTGTCTATATTTCTAAGACGAGCTATTGTAACTTATTATATTGTTCGGACTGTTGTATTCATCTTTGTTGCCATATTCACGATGTTTCGACCGCTGTACGCTTCAGCATTCTTCAGGATCTATCTCTATTTCTGAAATGAAGTAATGTAACTATTTACACTATTTACATTGTTCGGATTGTTGTCCTCATCTTCGTTGCCATATTCACGACGTTTTGACTGTTATACGCTCCGGTCTTCAGTGTTTATATATATTTCTGGGATGAGGTATTGTAACTATTTACGCTATTTACATTATTCGAACTGTTGTCATCATCTTTATTGCCATATTCACGACGTTTCGGTCGTTATACGCTCCGGCCTCCCTCAGGGTCTGTCTATATTTCTGAGATGAGGTATTGTAACTATTTACATTATATACATTGTTCGGACTGTTGTCATCATCGTTGTAAATGAATTATAAAAAAAAAAAAAAAACTAGTCCACGTAACAGCCTAAAATATCAACCCTGTAGACTCCCTTATGAATTATAGTGTTGCTGTAACTTTTTCTGTAACAGGAAGATACGTTTTTTTTGTTTTGTTTTGGTTGTTTTTTAATAAATTCACCCCCAGCAAGAAGATAATGCCAGTAAGACTCAAGGGTTAATCCGAATAAAAAAAAAAAAAAGAATGAGACTTTAGAAGGAAACGGAACTCAACATTACTTCAAAAGATCTGGGAGGAGTGTGAACAGGACGAGAGTGTGAACTGTATGAGAGTGTATACCCGGCGAGAGTTCATTGTTTTCTTCTCGTTGACTCATTTCGAACAAAAGTTGTATGGGGGAAAATATGAAAACCTACATTTTCAAGGAGAAAGCGAAAGAATCTACCTCAGCTAGAATTTGAACTCAGCATGTCAGTTCTATTTTCTGTGATAGTAACTGCTGTGGCGTAACACTCACTTCCCCGTAAAGCCCAGTTTGTGAAAGATTAATATGCAGGAGTTTCTCAAAGGTATACACTCAGTCTGGCTTAAGGCTACATCTGTAGGTCGCTCTGTGAACTTCGATATCGAGCTAGTCTTGCTTTTTAGGTAGTGTTTTACAAGTAACTATTACGCATTTCCCTTATCATCGGTTACTATGTAACAGCGATAATACTTTGAAGTGGATATTGGGGGCCCTTGGCAACCGACATAATCTCAGGTCACCAGCCTATACATTGGACGAACACATAATCCTCTGTGAGCCATTGTTAGCAGGAGACTGCCATGAACATTGTTCTTTCTTTCTTTCTTTCATTTTTTTCTCGAGAGCAGTACTGGGTGATATCAGCAGTCGAGCGATAAATCCATGTTGATCAGTTGAGGCCTGGGATGATGGCTGGGTTAAGGGCCACTGTGGGTTTGGCTGTGATTTGGAGGTTGAATGAGCCGAGGCCGGTGGTGAAATGAAAGGTTCGTCAAGCACTGAGTTCCTTTTAAGCCGATTATGAAGGACTGTGCCAAAAAAAAAACAAAAAAACAACTGTCAAACATTCACAAGAGTTCATGCTCCGAAATTCTTCTATCTCAGCCTGTTCATATCTTCCTATGTAACATACTTTCTTTCTTCAGTTCCTTCCTTCCTTTCTTCCTTTCCTTCTTTCCTTTCTTTCTTTCTTTATTTCTTTCTTCAATTCTTTCCTTACTTCCTTCATTCCTTTCTTTATTTCTTTCTTGAATTCCTTCCTTTCTTTCTTTCTTTCTTTAATTCCTTCCTTCCTTCATTCTTTTCTTTCTTTCTTTCTTCAATTCCTTCATTGCTTCATTCATTCATTCCTTTCTTTCTTTCTTTTCTTTCTTTCTTCAGTTCCTTCCTTCCTTACTTTCCTTTTGTCCTTTCATACTTTCTTCAATTCCTTCCTTCCTTCCTTTCTTTCTTTC